GAGTCTCAGACATGTAAGTCAAGAAATTTTCAAAGCTCGTTAATATTTCGAACCATCTCATTTTGAAAATTTCGGAACAAATGATCTATACCATTACTCTAGTTGATTATTCAAAATTTTCTTAATTGTACCTTCATAGACATTAATTCAACCGAAAACTTAGCATTAATGTTAGCCACCGGTAACAGAATATTTGCTTTTTGAAGATTCAAGTCCACGTGCCTGAAATAGATCAGCCTAACAAATGCAAACGGTTCAATGAAATGTTCAGTTATTCTGATAAAGTGAAGATTGTCGTAGGCTTTGTTCGTACTTTTAAAATGAAGTAACCTACTTCAAAATATCAATATTCGTCATTACAGCGGAAATACTATTCAGAAACTTAATTTTGGTAATAAAAGACATATATTAGAATGCATAATGTCGGAAATTTTATAAAATTCCGAAACGGATCAATCGTTTCATAAAATTTGTAAAATGAATCAATTGTAATGTTCACTTCTTCTGAATAAAACAATGCCTAACTATTACTGTTTCATGTATTTCGACCCGATTTTGTTGCAGATAATTTGACATACCTCATAAAAACTAAAGAAGAAAGCAGATAAAGCAATTTCCATGGGATTTATTGGTGCATCATCCAAGAGCTTTTTGGCAGTTCTATTTCGTGCTGCCGCTTCTTTTTGTTCACGATGCTTAGCCAAAACCCAGTGATATAAGTCCACTGAAGCATACTTTACCCATTTCATCTAATCAATCTTCCGGAACTAATTGAATCAAATACAATATAGTTACAGTCTTCAAATGTTAGTATTTATTTAATTTAATATTAATGCACTTACTGTTGGTAGTTTATATAAAAAACTAAGATGAATAAGGCACGTGATATATTTGCATAAAATAAGTTGAAAGTAAAAATAGAAGTGGAATCTTTTAACGTAGTTTAACTGCCTCCTGTGCAATGGTAAAATAAGTAAGCTTTCAGATGAAACTTTATCACAAAAAATTAAAAAAAAACAAAAAAAAAAAACAAAAAAACCGTACTTTGATGAGACTCGACAGTTGAGCGGGCACTACCACCATTTTTATCAATAGCATTTATCAAATTGTTTGAATCAACAGTTATACGAACTTCTTGTGAACTTGCTGTACTTTTCAGATGATGTTTAAGATATCTGTGGGCCAATTCGTTTGAAATCTGTAATTAACAAACTTCACAAGACCAGCACCAGCATTATCCACTCATTTCGTGCAATATGTGGAATGCACTCCAAAATGCCAGTCGTCAAGCTTTCTATCAACTTCATTTGGTTAGGCTGTTGGTAGATAAGACCATTTAGTATCAGTTAAGCAAAATCTTGGAATACCGCATGACGATATATGTAGGAGAATAAAGATAAAGCAAGCAAATAATGGTTGTCCAGCAATTTAAAAAGTGTTTTCATATAATGTTTTCAAACGATTTCCCGACACGTAGTTTTCAACCATAACCAAACCAGAACTTAAACATAAACTGCATGAAGCAATTGATCCCCATTAAGAAACTATTACCCTAACTTGTGAACAAATAATAGTTTGCCAGTGGCTGAGTAAAGCTACGAATGCTTGCTTTCTTCGTGTTTCATCCAAATAATGCCTCATTTCCGAATAATCCACTTCTTGCCAGTAATTGCTAAGATCTTCCTGAGCAGTATAACGTAACAAAATCGTCGTTAACATACAACTAGGACATGAAGCCGCAGCCTTATTATACAGTTGCACATCCGAAAAACAACTCTTTTCGAATACAAACAGCTAAAATGCAATTATTAAAAGACAATTAGGAAGTGCTAAACTGCAAATAAAAGTAATACAGAAATCAAAAGGCAAATCGTGAATGAGAATGAAAACATTAGACATACATAACAACGATTCCCCTATCTTTGTAGTATAGAAACTGAGTACCTGACCGTTACTGCAATCCATTACTTCCAATAGCAATCTTATTAACGCAAAATCTATCCATTCATCTACGGCTGCCATGTTTCTTGTTAAACTTCCGCTTAACCGATCAATAGCATATATCCAAGAAGTTACACAAGGTGCAAAAACATCGAAAAAAGGCCATTCTACGCTTCAAAAATGATTAATAGTTAATCACAAATCGAAATGGCTTTTTGGAAATGTAACTTCTTAGAACCACCATTAAAATCTTCAAATTTTGGAATTTTTCTTCAGATGTTTTATCTCTAAATTTATACATTTTATCAAATGATGAAACTAAACCTGGTTGTTTGCCCAATCGGTTTACATAAACCAACTGTTAGTCCACATGGTCCGATCATCAAACACAGCTGATCCTGCACACCTGATGCGTTTAATTTATTGTTCACTTCACTGATATTTACTTTTAATGTGAGATCGGGAAGTTCGCTATCTGTAAGGAAGAAAACAAAACTACTCGAATATATTAAATGAAACTTTCAGTGGCAAAAGAAATCTTTTCAAGAAAAAAAAAATGTAATCCAATGTGTATGAATGTTAAATAAGATCAACTCCATAAGTTACTGTTCAAATGACAATCAGTAGAAATGGTACATTGGATTATATATATGCTGGAACAAAATAACACTATATTTTCAACCAACCTATAACTACTCTTAGATCATATCCACTGAAACGATTGTTTACATTAAGCTGGTTCCAGTTTGTAGAATATTTAGGGGAAAAAGATTTGTTGTAGGCGAAATCTAATTTCCATGAATCGACCAACTGAAGAAACTGTGCATGACCTTTCAAGGTAAATTCCATTCCCGGAAAGCTTTTCTTCTGGAAAAGAACAGAAGGAAAATGTAGCTGTGAGAAACCATCAGCTTTGTTATTCAAATTAAATCACGCATTGCTCTTGGACATACAGTGAAGTTATGAATGAACTTATAAAATCTGAAGAAAGCATTTACTGTGCAGGAGTCATCATTTGAAAGAAATAAAACGGTCTTGTGGAAACGCAGTAAAATCACACTGCTTCGAGCCAGATGAGATACAGAATCTTCAAGTGATGCCGAGTGGATAGTTTTTTCAATCATCCCACACTGGAAGGAAACGATATTGATGTCAGGAAACATGATGTTACCTTGCAAACGCGACTGACCTTTTCTGTTATCTAAAAGGAGTGGATAAATGAGGGAAGTACTACAGCAAATTTTTGTCCTACAGTACGTTAAATCACTTTTGCAGCAAGCAAAAAAGTTCTTGAATTAACTACTTAGTTCTGATATCACAATTTTTAGTATATCTCTACCATTAAAATCGAAATGAAATCTACTCCTCAAAATAATAACCATATCTATTAAAAAGAATATATATTAAAATTGCACTTCTGAAGGAATCTATCACATATAAACAAAAGGAACGATAATATTAGATTTTGGCTGTTACAAATAATAATGTAACAGATGATTAGTTCAACATAAACAACGAACATGTCTCGCGAGTTTGAGCATTTGTAAGAGGTTGAGAATGGTGTCGAAAGGAACACAACGTGTAAAGATGTTGAACGATAAAAACGGGATTCATAATCATAAACCCAGCAGATATTTGCTCCATAATGCGCTGCGTCACCTCTAAAGCCAACGGTGTTATAAAGATCTGAAATTAACTGATTTAATAGGATGCTTACATATCAATAAATATTCTTGGCGTTAATGGAATGTGTTTGCTAGTCTAATTTTGGCATTTTAGACTTCCTTAATTTCATAAATACTGGAAGAGTATCGTTTCAAGCTATATGACAATTTTAGAATCATAGAATCACCACCAGCAAATCTATCTGGTAATAATTTGAGGTAGGAACTATATCAGCCAATAAATTGCGCACCGTCTTCTCGTCTGACGGTGCGTCTTCTCGCGCACCGTCTTCTCGTCTGACGGTGCGTCTTCTCGCGCACCGTCTTCTCGTCCGATAACATAGACTGTCTAAAGCATATGTCTATGTTATCATATTATTCATCAATCCCAAACTGCGCCGAGAAGATGAAATGTGTAAGTACATTTTTCAAGAAGTAATTCAAATCAATCCTTTAATCCATTCACGAGTTTCTATTCCGCCGGCCCTTTTCTAATAAACTGCCACATTTCGATGGATCACTAAACAGTGGTAATTGTTTCAAAAAAAAAAAAGAAAGAACCAAAGGAATCAATAAAGCACTAAATAATCATTTCTAATGAATGATAGTAAATTATCGTTGCATTATTGTTCCCCAACAAATCGTATGCCCAACAAATTCTTTACATGAGCAGTGTAATATCTGATAATAACTTACGTGCAACTGATCACCCAAAATGCCATTCATCTTCATCATGTGCTGGTCGGAAAGATTTGCAGCAATAGGTAATTCAGTAGCAATAACATCATTTTTCACAGGTAACTTCTGCTTCTCTTCTTGTTTTATTAGTGTAAGCTCACTGATTCCAGATGTTTTCTTGAAAATTCTAACTTCGGAATTTTTAACTTGAAGAAGCCTATGTAAAATAGTCAGAAGTGGTAAAATGAGTGGTAAATTTTCCAAACGTCGAAAATTCAAATTTGACCTCCTTTCAAATATTTCAGTGGATTTTGATCAACGTAAGGAAAACTAATTTACTAAAATTTAAAGTGAAGCAATAAACCTAACAGAAATTTGAGATTTATCAAGTAATAAATCTGAAAATTTCACCTTTCGGAAAAAGCTGGATTTTAACGATTGCGAATCACTATCAACTGTCACTTCGTTTTCGTAAGCACTTAAAAATGAAGCATAATTTTCATGAAGGATTGTTGATGAGAGTATTGGGCCAACCATATGGTGATATACATTAACATAAGTAGACGAAAATGCCGAATGGAAAGAATCATTAGAGGATACTTTCCTTTCGCTTACGATTTCCTGTAAATAGAATTTCCCAAAGTGCGGCATTAATTTTAAGCTTATAAATGAATATATATTAGTTAATTACCTCTTTTCTACTTTCTTCGATAACAGCAAGGTTTTCGTGCGCCACTAGATTTTTCGTGCTGAACATCCTGGAACATTTATAAAATGGCCAACTTAGGTCTTGCATAAACAGATAAACAAAATTACAAAAAAATCACCATCTACCCTGATGAATAATACTTTGACCAATAACAGGCTGGATCTTCTCCTCACTCCTAATACTTTCCCATAAAGAAGGTTTGTTAAGTTCGCGCATCAGTGACTGTCCACTGAAAAAATATTACGCATTAATAGAAAACTGAACTTTTTCCATGAATCAGACTTAAAGTTTTAATTAATGTAAGCGCAAAAAGTAATAGCAAATGAGAAATGTAAGAACCTACACTCTATCAACAGCAGCAAAAAACCAAGTATGACCAAAGCATGCGCAACTATTTGCATCATCCCACAGAAAATAAAGTCTGCAAAAGCGGACAAGTGAAAGACAAAACTAAGACCGTCTAGTTCTCATATGTTGCTCTTGATGTTATTGAAATGCCAATTTACACTTCACCTTTCGAATGCACTTCAATTTACTTCATTCCCTCCCTAATTTCTACAAGTTTCACTTAAATACTACAAGCATTTAAAATTTTCACTGGAAGTAAAACAGCACATTGTCCTTGTAATGTAAACGGTACATTATCCTCAAAATGTAAATTAGAACGAAAGTTGAAATTTCGTAAAACGAAATTAGCAATACGCATGCGAGATAATTGTCACCGTTTACAACGAGTGAAAGGAAATCGAATAAAATGATAACCATCTTTGAATTCTAGTAAATCAGATAAACGTTAATATTTACCTTTTGGTGTGTTTATCGTGTTTATTAAGGAAATTTTTTCGCTCCAAGAACAGATGTGCCTCAGATATTTCGTAAGGCAAACATACGTTGAAACTCATGTTATTCAGCAAAAAACTCCCACATTCAATCCACTTTTCCACATCCTTTGCCAAAACAGACACAAATTGTTTCAATTGAACCTGAAAAACCTTTATTTTTTGATTTTTTGAATTATTTAAGACACTTTTTTCATAATGAAAGTTATTGATTACAGTATTTCTAAATTCAGTCCCCGCCTGCCGAAATGTTTTAAAAATGATTTTAAAAACTGATCAAAAGTGTTCAAATACCTGAAACTCACTATTCATTTAATAAATTTCGCAATATAACTATGAAAATATTGACCATTTTGATAAAAAAAACACTGGATAAAAAATATCTTACCCCGAAGCTTTTTGGAAGTCAAAAATTATTTTCAATGAGAAGGAAAAGTAACCTGCCATTTTTTAGCATGGTGACTTGAAAATCCCTATAAAAAATAACATTTTATACGAAACAACGAAGAGCTAACCAAAGGAAGTTTCAAAAGAATATTAGAGCGAAATGAAGCATTGTGACAACTGCAGTAAGCCAAACGAATTGGTGAGAATTCAAATTGAAGTGCACTTCGTTCTTCCATAATAGCTACTTTTACTTGTTCAATGCTGATTCGTAATGACTTATATTTTAACTGAAAATACTTTGAAATAATAAATGAGTGAAAAAAAATGGGGTAAATAATCCATCATTTATACATATTTTCATAGAAAAATATTTTCACAGAAGAATAATTTTCATAGAAAAATGTCTTAAAAAGTTATGGAGTGAAAAACTAACGTTCTCTTCGGATTCACAATTTTGAATTGGTGTTTTTTGATGAGCTAAATTTAATCCAGCATATGTACATGTACGAGGGTCATTCATATGAATGCAAAAATCATATCTGCAAAAAATACAAATAAGTTAAATGATCTACAACATATTTATTTATTTGTATTCCTATAAGTGTTGCAAAATGAATTTCTCAGCTTTGTGGTAAGAAGAATTTTTCAGTTCTTTCTCTGTATTTCCTTTGATAGCGTCAGTAAGTCTAAGGTAGATCTAAACAGTTCAGAGGAAATATTTCCATTAAATTTAAAAAATTTTAAGCAGTCGTTTAAGCGATGAACTTCTCAGGTGCCAATAATTTATCATCGGAGCAAACAGCCAGCACCGCTAACGATTCGATACACTGCACAAGTATAGCAATCTGCAATGACAAATATTAATCTAGAAATTATTTGGTAATATCACATAGCTAACAGATGAATTAAAAGAAGTTAATTGATTTGACGTTTGAAGCGGTGTTCTTCAAAAAACAACAAAGGGTTAGTCTAGTATGCAATCACCATGATATGCACTGAACTAAATGATTAAATTCTCAGCGATCGAGATGTCAGCATTAATCCGGTATGAATCAATCCTGAAGTTTATGTCGACTTAATATCCAGCTTTCGAGAACTTATTGCTTCGGAAAAAGCAGGCAAAAGTATTTATGATTTTTTTTCAGGAAGAAAATCATTTTACAGTTGATAAAACGAAACCTGGGAGGAATGAAGTTTACCAAGTAACTGCCCAGCACAAATTTCCATAAGCCAACCATATTCAAGCGTTGCGGCATCCCATGGAACATCTAAGTCCGAAAAAAGGGCTTGGCCACGAAACGAAAATGTTTTCAGCACCAATAAACCAGTTGCAGTATTGGGAAATTCGGAAGACGGTATGAATTTTACCGAAGCCGTCCCAAAACCAACCTGAAAGTTGAAAATAAGATTTTCCCATAATATCAAAGCTCGAGCTAACAATTCAACTTAAAAAATGATTAAAATTTTACCTGAACCATCGCACCGTATGCATCTTTAATAATTTCCAAAACTACTTCATCAACTCGAACCTTTGGGCAGCTATCTGGAAAATTTTACATTGAAATATTTTTCATTCAATTGATATAGTCCTTCTATCAGTGCTATCGAACAAATGCAATGGAAATTGGCAAAATAAAAGGTACATTGTAGCGTACATAGCTAGTATCGGATTTTTTATAACAAAATAACCAGTGAAGAAATCAGCAAAGAAGACACTGAGAGATGGAATAACGCAAAAAAAAAAAAGAAAGTAAAAGCTATTACTCACCCATTGCTGAATTCATTTTTGAATTATGAACCAAGCAAAATCCTTTAATTTTACCAACGCGTAAGTAGAGACGTAACAAAAGTGGTCGGTATCGCTCACATTCACCGGAAATGCTGTTGCCGTAAAGTGGGCTTGGTGGCGTATCGATGTTAATTTTTCCGACATCAGTTAACTATAAATTAAAATATCATGCATACAAATAAAAACGCATCAAGTCAATGTGAGTAAATAGAAAAGTTCCATTTTAAAAATTAGGAAATTCATCAAGTTCATTCTTTGTCCTTCCTAATAACTTTCTAAAGTTTTAAACAATCCATCTTTATCAGTCTTCCTACCAAACATATCAGTTGCTAAAGGCTGAATCGAAATTTTGTCGTAAAGTAAGCTTCACCTGATCATATAATCCGAAATAATTATTTTTCAGATCAATAATGAAACGGATGAGCAGGCCTACTAATATGATTTCCGAATCGCCTATATCGATCTGAAGATATATGTTATAAACCCTAAAACGAATATTCGGTTAAAAAGAAATTCGAGAAAACTGTAAATTCGATAAACATATCAGTAACACGTATCAGTAACAAGATTCACATCAATAACGATTCAAATCAAGAACCATGTACTATTAATTTGTGAACACTTACATTTGGTGAAATAATAAATATAAATATTGTATTATAGATTTATTGATACCGATGCGATCCTAATTAAAATTTCAATATAAATTCCAGTAATTTGAAAGACTGTTCAAAAACCATTTGAACCGCTAACAGTTCAAGTATTAAGAACCTCAAGTGATAGCTGATCCGGAGATAAAGTAATTGGGGCTGCCTGCTTTTTTGCAGCTGATTTAATCACATTCAACGGAAGATCAGATGATGGATCATAATATAACGGATGATTAGTGTATTCGAATAACAGTTTGATCTTTTCAGTTCTCCACAATTCTACCCAATCCTGAAGAGTGCCACAGTTAATGAGTATAGGGTTCGAGAAATTCAGAACATGTCATTGAAGAAAATAAAACAATTTAATGTGGAAAATAATCGAAAATTCAGGACTGAAAAATAGCTGAACAAAAAGTCATTTCATGAACCCTTCAATGACAAAACACAAGAATAAGTGAAACAAGAAAGGAAAAATGAATAACTAACTTGGGCTAAATGTGACATAGCTGGTAAATCCTCGACTGCCGGAGAAGTAGCAGCGAAATGAGCATATTTAAATAGGGAATGCAAGACACTGTAGAGGGGACTTTTAGGTGGTAACCATGTGCGTAATGCAACCATACCTTGCGTGCTAATTTTGTAAACAGTTGTTACTGTTTTAGGGTAGAAGTCAACAAATGGTAAAACGAATGATATTGTCACATTTTCGCCCACAATAGCAGCTAAATGGTTTTCCGCAGACATTGAAGAACTGAAATTATAAATTTAGATGTAAAAGAATGTAAAGGAAAAAGGGAAAAGTATAAATAAGAAAATCAAATTGTGTGAATGTAATCATTAAATCATGCTGAAAGCAAAGTAGTTGGCTCCTTTTCTGGACTAATGGAATATAAAGGATTCTAGAACAGCTAGGAAAACCTTTTTTTAAAAAGCACAGGAAAGACATTGACTTACCTGGCATCAACCCAGTTATGTTCATTCAGCAATAGCGTAAGTTCAAAACTATCCATAGCATTAATTTCGAATTCCCATGTGTAAGGAACGAATTTATACAAATCCATGAGTGAATTTGAAGTCCATTCATTGATCAAATCCTAGGAAAAAATAAATTCAATGAGCGAACTTTACTAGTGCGACAATTTTTCTCGGTATAACAAATTCAGCTCTAGAAAGTTGAATTTTTAAAAATTTTTCCCAAAAATCAAATCGAAAAAGTTGGGAGGTATTCATAAATAAATTTAAAAATTTCAGAAAATTCTTCCTTGTAAAGAAAACTTACAGCAAAGAAGTGTTTGTGATCCCAGACAACCCAAGTGCTGGCTTTGTTAATTTTAATGGCACATTTCCATACTTGATATCCATTGAAGACGCGGGGATAATGGACGTTAAGTGTTAAACGTAGAGTTTCACATTGGAAAAATTTGGGATATGCAAGAGAAGTGGACGATTCAACAAACAAAAAACAGCAACGAAGGGCAGTCTCATATCCTTTCTCTGTTGTTATCCAAGGCATTTTCAACTGTAATATGCAACGATCTTAGTAGTTCTTGAAATCAAATTCTTTTTTTTTTTAATAGTGAAACTCAAACGGTTTGAGAACAAAGTGCCAAACCAATTACATCAACAGAGGATCCTTGTTTTACACGTAGATGCAAAGCATTCAGTTCGTCTCCTCTCATAAACCATATGTCAATCGCTGCATCATTCCACAATGAAATTCTTATATCATGCGATAACAAAATTCGTCGCTCACCTTCTTTTGGCATTACTCTGAAATACGGGAACTTGCTACGAAAGGTTATTATTTCCAGCAAAAATAAATTCTGATTGTGCAAAAAGGAAGACAAGAAATTGTTTCCTTTGTGTAAAACTTTGCGTCCTTTCGTTTTTAGAACACATAATGGAAATATCGACCGTAACAGAAAAATAACACAAATAATGATAAGCATACGTTACATCCAAATTACGATATTCTGGTGGGAAGAAAAAGTCATAGAGAAGAGCACGTTGTGCATCAGCCCATGGGCCATATGAAAATATGGTATTTTTATCGAATCGCCATACAGATTCCCAAACGGGAAGATCCTCAGTCATTGACTGTTGACCTTCCTTCACAACACCTTGAAATGCATGGTAAATGAAAGTAATTAATAGAAATCACTTTAAAGAGGGAATACTTAGCCAACCGAAAAAGTGAAGCAGCGTAATAATACTAAAAATAATGTGAATAGATATTGGATAGATATTAATTCAATCGATTGCAATTTTAATATTATTAAAAATTCAAAGACGAACTCCAGTGCTAAATGGGAGACGAAATTACAAACTTGATTGCAAGTTCGTGATATTAGAATCAATTTATGCAAAACAATTTTTTTCATTCTGTTTACGTAGAAGTAAAAACTCAAAGTTATAAAAGCAAAAATTACGAAATAGCAAGAAAACTACGAATTTTATGCAAGAGTGGAATAATTATATAGGAAATTAAAATATACCCAGAACAGACTGACTGTAGAAGAAATTGAGATGCGCCGTCTGAATAATCGAGAAGCCATCACCCATTGTTCGAGGTGGTGGATCAAATCGACCATTACAATTTGGCGATCTTTTTTCCAGAAATTGACCACATTGTACCAGTGTGACACGGACATTTTCCGTGCCACCAATAATGCTAAGCAGCGCTACATCATCACCTTTGCTATATTCTTTGAGTGATATTTCTGCTAAAATGACAAATAAAAAGAAATAAACTGCAAAGTTGCGATGCATTGGTAATTTGTGTACTGAAAGATAATGTTTAAAGAAGAACAGAAAACTTGGTTTTGGCCAGATATACTTATGAACGCACTTCATACATCTTGTTTTTCGGTTCATTTCACCGGAAAACACTTTTTCGTATCACTGCCGCAGTATTTCAATCATATATGACTTCATATATGACAATATATAATTTAAACGAATTTTATATTCCAGAAAAAGATGCAGTTTCTATTAAATTTGAAAAAAGAAATCAAAAAGTTTAATTAAGATCTTCCAAAAGAGGTATACTCGACTTTAGTCTATAATTTCTTTTTGTAAAAGTTTACTAAGTAACTTACACGTATAGTTTTCAAAAGATGAAACAATTGTTGATGGTAAAAGTGAGTTCCCAGCAACCAGGCGTCCCGAACTGATATCTAGTTTAATATAACCAATTAAAGACCACAAATTATCATAATATTTTTCCCATTCCAGTTCTTCTTCTGCTGGAATAGCAAAAAGTTGAAAATTCTATCCCAGTTCAAGTTTATATGCAAATATACCCAAAGTATGTGCAAATATGCCAATATACATAAAATGATCCTATCCATTCAACTTCAAATTTGATCCCTAAAGACGAATATGCATTTCATAGGCAGTATGAATGAACTACAAAACGTAGTTGTTCACTTACCGTCGTACTTTGTAAACCGTCGTGCTTTGTTAATATCAGCTTCATCTTTCAACAGAACAAACAATTTTTCAAGGCCAAAATATCTAGCTAAAGATCGGTAGTTTGATAAGCGATTATAGATATGCAGCTGTAAGCCATTTAAAGATATATGCAGTCTCGAAATATTACTGAAAACTCCAACATTATTTAAATGCATCCCCTGGATGAATGTAACATCTTTCTATCAAACAAAAATTCCATCGAAATTTTTTCTTATCAAACCTTTTATGTGCATAATCCGATGGAATGTAATTCCAATATGAAAAGATAATCCATCCGTCGTTGCAACAGAATAAGAAGTTTTGACACATGCAACGAAAATCGCGGAACATTATTTTGCCAGAAAGGAAACTTATGGAAAATGAACCTGAAAAAATGAATTTTGTTAGCAAACAACTGGCGTTCATAAAGTACCCATAAACTGCCCAATGTACTGAAAATTCTTTATTGCTCTATGCACTAAAATTTTTGCATCATTAACGGAAAATTAAGCAAACCAACTTACAGCTTGTAAATCCTCTCTTTTGCCGAAACATATCTTTTCAAATGTTTGCAGCTATTGAACAGAAATTTCGAAAAATTATTACGACGGGAATTAAAAACTTCTTAAGAGATATTCATGAAAATAAAATTCATCAAGTTGAAATGTTAAATTAAATAAAGGTAGAAATTGATGTAAAATTCACCCATCGATATTTGCACATCATATCCTTTCAGATGAGCAATTCGCGTAAGCACAAATGCCACGATTGGGCCAATAAGTCGAGACATGTAGTACGTTATAAAAACAATCCATATAATAAATAACAGCAAGCTTCCTAGCATGACCCAAAAACTTGCTTTGTCCGGCTAAAAATTTATTACAGATAAAGGATGCCGACAGTATGTACCTCCAGAGAAGGTATTGTCATCAGTAAAACGTATAACATGAATTAAATAGTTAAACAGAAACAAGCAGCAATTATGACTTCCATAATTTGGCAACCAGAAGTGTAACTTCAAAGCAAGAACCAGTTTTAACTTCTAGCCTTATTTAATATCGTGTCAGCCTTTTTGCCTTATTTAATATCTTAATATCTCGTTACTTTTAGCCCTATTTAATATTAAAATACCTTACCTGAACAATTTCTCGATAATCCTTCCATTCTAGATTGATATCTCCTGGTAGCATTATAGAACTATTTTTTTTCCAGAAAGAGAAACCCCTGCCGAGCAATGTACCCGTGTGATTCATGTCGTCGTCGTCATCATCATTGTGATTTTCACATCTCTTGAAATTTCATATCTCACATATAGCCAATTTTTCAAAAATGTCATTTCAAAGCCGAGTTTCTATTGTGAAGTATTGCTTGTACGGATATAATGAAGCGAAAAACAAAAAAGAAAACAATATAAAATTCAACTTTCATACGACATAATTTCACGCGCACTTGTACAAAAAGATTAAAATTTGCATGAACTATTTACAAGTTTCAATTTTCTCGACAAAAGTGGAACGAGTATTACCGACAAAATATTTCACTTAAAAAGTAGAAAAAAAGGAGCTCCGATTTAAGCAAGAAAAAAAACGAAAAATACCAGATCAAATTAACAGCAAATGCGAGATTTTGTGGAAATGCAATAAAAAAGCAATAAAATATCCAAGAGACCGCGAAATTACGAGTCGGATCAGATAAACGTCACGTCAAATATATTTGCTATATGATCAAATGTTTGATAAATTTCAACATTCTTATAACATAAGTATGTTACGTACCCATAATCAAAGAAATAAAAGGATTTGTCAACAGTTACTATACTGAATTCGTTAAAAATGAAAGAGGTACAATTTGCACTCTTTCCGAGGAAAATAAATTCCACAGCATTTCATAAAATATGCACACAAAATATAACATAAGTAATACAATAACACAAGATTATGTGGAAAAGGCTACAGTAAAGTAACGACTGAGTATGATGAGATGTACATTCTAGAATTAAAAAAAAATTAAACCCGATTCGTTGAAGATTTAAACCACCAACAATCTCAACTGATATAGTGTAAATTAGTTTTAAGTGGCCCATTGAAACATTCTTAACAAGAATGCAATTCCGTTGCCATTAGCTGAATGTACAGTGTAAGATGATCAGGGAGGCTTTCAATAAATAAATTTACTAAACTACCCACTAATTCTGGAATATCATGACTTCGAATATTAAATTAACAAAGTTTCTTTTTCCTACTTGGTATATGCCTCTGAATTGGTTAAAAAAAACGAAGAAAAAAAGTGGCGATGATTTGACAGTTAATGATTTGCCATTCCGCTTCAACAAATACCAAAAAAGCAATAAACACCAAAAGAAACAAATGAATAGGATTCTAAAATTCAGATAGAAAAAAACACTCGTCTTCTAAAAAACTTTTACGATGAAACCAACATTGAATGAATTATTTCTCTAAGTTGTGCTGTGCTACATTCCTCATTCAATGCAAGTTTTCGTAATTCCGCCATACGTCCCTTTCGTGTTTTTCCTTCATCAAGATGTCGTGAAGCAGCAAATGCAGCTCGAATAACCTGAAACTTGTTTTTAAAGTGATACTCTGCTCAAATACAACTTATTATCATTTTCAGAAAAATTTATTGAAAATAAAATCTTGGTCATAAAATGACAAAAGTTTCAAATACCTCTGTCTTGAGTCCCGAAATTTTCGCAGCAAAGAATCCATAAGATTTTGGACATATTCCATCTGTTAGCGTATACAGGAACGTAACATTTTCCATCGTTGGATCTTCGGCATTTTCATTTTCAACAATGCAAGCCTGAAAAAAATACTTAAATTTGAATATCTGAAAATGAAGATATCTAACGGATTTGGTATAAAAAACGCAGATATTGGCGGAATCGGGTAAATACCGTTATATATCAAACAAAGATGATGAAATGTCACTATCCACTTGTACGGTTTTTCCAGAAAAAAACTCTAGGACAAAAATAGCAAAAACAATTAAAATTTGAAGATGAATCATTGAAATGGAAGATTGAAATGGAATTAACAAGCGAACCAAAAGGATTTTTTTTATGGTCAAAAAGTGAAACAGCTGCACTTCTGGTAACTAAGCTCAGATATCAGGGTTTATTTCAGGAGTATGATACTTGAGCGTCATATAGTCATATTGCAAAAGAAGATAAGCTGTAATGAATATCTTATTAAAAATGTCAGTCTTGGATAGTTATTTAACTTAAAATTTCAGTGGTATTTCCACTGTCACTACTTTGCAGTAGAAAACTAACCATATGTGCTGCTTTGATGCTGCTAATATTTTGAACTGCTTTACATAAGCCGTGATAATGGGTAGAAAAAAAAGTACGACAGTTCAGCCTGGTTGCCATATCCAGCAGCACTGCATATGCAATAGCGGTGCCATCATAAGTACTAAAAGAATGTTCAATTTGATATCGTCTTGTAAAAAATTATTTTTTTAAAAATCACAAAATTGTTCCTACTATGAAATAATTTATGGAAACTATTTACAAACGCGACAATTGATAACGCGCACCACAAGTTTTTTAAGACAGGAACTAAAGTGCATATTATAACTGACACGATGACATCTTGTAAATTGATACTTAAAACCTCGATTAGCAAAAAGAGAACCAAATATGAATATTATCCTGTGATAAATATTATTATGAACATAAGTAAATGAAAATGTAGATGTTACCTTGTCCCTCGACCTAGTTCATCCATTATGACAAGGGAATGTTTAGTTGCATTTCGCAAAATCAAATTCGTTTCATATAATTCAACATAGAAAGTAGATTGGCCTAAAATATAACTTTGAAAATATAGACTGATAAGTACGTTCCGAAATTTTAGAAACAACATATGAATCGACCTGCAGTAATTCGATCACCTGCACCCATCCTTGTAAAGATTCGATCAACTGGTGACAATTTCATTTCATCCGCAGGTACAAAGCTGCCCTACAATATGAAAATGCAGTATTTTTCAAACTAAAAAAAAGATGTGAAAGACAAAACAACTGGATAACTTTAAATACTCAGATTTAACAACCTAAGAAATACAAATGAAACAATAATCAAAACTAAAAATACAATTCTGAGAACCTTTAGAACTGTTCTCGCGACAAACTTAGTAAAAGTTAAAAATTTCAAGATACGGGAACATGACATGCGAAAAATAAAAAGATTTAATAGAAAATACGCGAAAATGTTGTGATTTTTTGACGGGGAAAGATAGTCTCAATTGTACTGAAGGTAAATCTATCCCTAGCAGGTAATACAGCGATATTTTAATGTTAAGGAAAAATAAGTCAAATCTGCAATATTCCTCAAATAATACATAGCATGATGACTGTACGAGTTTTTAAATTCAGATCCCGATCGCATAAATGCCATATCAGATATAGAGTATGGTTAAAACAGTCCTTCATTTTTCTGTAAATATTAAAAAGCACTCACTATTTGAGCAAGCACAACCAGCACACCAACTTGACGCATTAGTGTTGATTTTCCACCCATATTTGGACCTGTCAGCAAAATTGTCGATGGTTGATTTCCTCCCAGTAAAACACTGTTTGGTATGTATGTGAAACTGCTCCCTGAAGCAGCTATCGCGGCAAGCGACGGATGATATCCGGATTTGATTTCTAATACTGGCTGGAAGATAACCAATGATTTAAAAATTCACATAACAGTCATGGCTACATAATTATGACTATTCAATACAACAGTGATTTTGCAAATAGGTTCCAATAAAATTTGACAATTTCAATAAATAACAATCAACTTCATTTTCAAGTATCAATCTAAGCTAATATAAAATTAGACCTTGATTGATTGAAAACATCATAAATATTTGTAAATAAATAAACTTGTAAGTTATAATTCACGAATAAACAAACTTATACCAGCTTACTATCGTAAATAAACTGCGGACGACACATATTTAGACCACAATCCTGACCATAAAGAGTTAAAGAAAGAAGCACATCGAATACAGCCATACGTTCAACAACCATTGTCCATTTGATAGACCTTCAAATTCACTAAATTGATTATTGCAATTTTTCTACTATTTTAATATTGATAGCTAAGATTTTTAGAATTGAATTTGCTGAAATAGTGAACTTATGGCTAATTAATTTCAAACAATCGAGTTTCAAAGTTAAAAAGATTGGTGTGAATTTGAGATTATCATCGAAGTAATTAAGTGCATTTATTACCATACAATATGCAAAAGTAGTCTATATAAAAAAGGGTATCTACTATTATTGTTCTTCACTTTTCTTCACATTGTTCTTCACTTAAGCTTAAGATGCTGTCGTCGCGATCGTATGAGATCAGCAACAAAAGAAATGAGTGTTATACCTATCAGACACAGATATTACAAGTCTCCAATGAACAATTAACTTTTACCGTTGTGATTCAAAATTCATATTCATCTCGATTGTGTACATTAACTGGTCCAACAATGACTTAAATACTCCAAAACTGCTTATAAACAACTCAATATATTATTTTGAATATTTTCTGTCTCAAGTTTATAAAGTCGTAGTAACTTAATTTATCACTATTTCAATTGTTATGAAACGTGTCTATAAAATATTTGTTATGTATTGATTAACTTTACTAATTCGAAAAAATCGAATAATATTATTTATTCGAAAGCTTTACCAACCTGTCGCCAAAATCAGCGAATACGCGTCGCATAAGGTCACGTCGTAAAATATCAAGTTGATTTTCAGCTTCATCCAGATTTTTAACCAAGTTTACCAATTCATCTGTTACCATCCGTTTGTAGCCCTATTTCAAAAAATGAGAGTAAATGGAATGAAAATACAACGAAACAAAATGAAACACGGAATTTGATTAATATTATCCAACCTTTCGAGAGGATTTAAGTTCGAATTCATGGCTCAAATTCATAGCTATCCCTTCTGGTATTTCGAGCTGATAACGGGATCGTCCGCTTCCAAAGAAATTGATGTTCTCAAACATTTTAAAAATCTTAATAATAGTGATAAAGCTAAAATAAATGCATCCAAGATCTTCAAATGATGCCGTCTACATATAATTCTTAATCATTCATTTTCATGACAAACAAAATATTTACTGAACAATGTAGTTGCCTCCTGATGACATTCAAATACAAATCCAATTCATGGATGCATTCCTTTACGTTATAAATCGTATCATCGTATTCCTTAATTACACCTTTTTCTGGCACAATAATACCTTCTTCTTGTGCTTTATCACGATTGAATGCATTCTGCAATATTACATTTACAATCTTCCTCACCTACTCCCCAATTCTAAGTAGCTTAATGATACAATCGATGAAGTGCGCTCGAAAATTTCAAATCATAAGCGTGAAATATATTAAGTAAATAATTTCTACAGCAGCTCAATATATCTTCAAAAGGTCGATACAAAGCATTTCCATATCCGCCAAAGAACTGAAGTCGAAACTGATTTAATTTAACAAAGAATGGAGTTAAGTAGATTCCAGCAGGCTCCAGCCGAAAATACTCCGATTCTGAACATATTGGTGGAAAACAGTAGGTATTAGAAAAGAAATGGACTGATTTACCTAGGCTTAAAACAACAGATAACTAAATGGGTGGATTTTACTATAATAAGTACAAGTACACGATGGGTAATGAATAAACCAAGAAGGTATGGAAAATCCTCTTCCACGGCTCAGTGAAAAAGCCTATGAGACATACTTAAGTTCAAAAACAAAAGAATGAAAAATTACAAGAACAACTGCAAACTAATTCTACAAATTATGATTTCCTACAGTACCAAAGAAAATTTTATAAGTTATTGTAACTTACTTTAAAATGTTCAAGATCATTTGAGATATCGGGAAATCGATATCCAAAGCATCGTTCCAATAATGCAGGGCTGGAATAACTTTTGTTTAACACAAAGTCTTTAATTACTATTTAAAATGAAAAATCCCTGTCTTCATCAACAATCAATTTTTTTTTATGCTCGGCAACACTTTCAAAATCGACTATGATCGGCAACACTTTCTATATGATTTATGATCGGCAACACTTTCAAAATCGACTATGAATGCGACTCAAATTAAAAAGCGGATAAAATGTGAACTGTTTTATTCCTACTTCTCAAGACTCTGAAATTAATCGTAAGACTTTACTTAATCGGCAAACTTTTCGCTAATTCAAAGTAATTCTTGTCATTAATGTTCTAGTAGAATTTCTTGTTACTTGCAATATAAACTGCTAAAATAATGGACGCGAGAGAAACAAGAAACAACCAATCAGATTACATACACTGGTTTTTGACTCTCGCCAAAATTTTCCATAAATTTTAGACGTAGATCTTGAATATGTTCGAAACCTTCCAAAGCCCGGACCAAATCTCGAATTTTTCGTTTATTATAACGCATAGTTTCAAACATCTGCGCTCGGCTGTCAGGGTGTTCTTCCGCACGGTATTTCAATCCTAATGTATGTATTCTGAAATATATACTGAAATAAAAAGAAAAAAAGGAAAAGGAAACAAGCACATTTTCCAATAAAGCAAAGCTTTGCACTCTATTATACCTCAGAAAATGAAGCTTACTTTTGAACTAAGCGTTCCAGGTCAGGTACTTTGCATAAGCGTTCCCTGGCTTTATCAATAAATCCCTTCAACCTCGCTTCGGAAAGCCATTCTATTGCATCCTGCCGTGAAGATAAGATCTCCTGATCGCAAACAGGAGCGCAAACCCACTGTCGAAGAAGACGTTTACCTGAGACCATTAAAGGACAACTTCGGAATCGTTTGAAAAAATGACGAATTGCAGAAAAATGTTATAAAACTTCTAAAATGTAAAAAATGAATAGGACTAAGTTTTAAGGGTATTCTGAAAATTTTGGAAAACTATACCTGCGGGAGTAGCACATTTATTAATAACATTATAAAGCGTATATTTTGTGGTGATTGGGTCACGCGGTGCAAATTTCTTCATAGAACCAATAGGCGGTATGATATTTAGATGTTTCAAAGTAAGGCTATCCAGAATAAGACGGCGTCCGCGCCAGTAGTGTACACCAACTTCTATTTCATCCTTAAAAAATTTACAATATCAAAGGATCACAACGACTACTTATTGCAAATATAAAAAGACAAAAAAAAAGCCAAAATTACAAAGATAGCATAGGAAAGAAGTGGAAAGAATGCAACGGTGGAAGTATGTAATTGATCGAGAATAGGATATAAGTTAACCTTATCATGGGAAAGAGGTCCCGTAAGATTCATAGGTTTATACAGCTCAAATCTTCGCATTGAAATCATATCAACATCAACAAAGCATCTTCTTAAATACCTGAAATTTGAAGCGTACCTAAAGGATTTCATCAGAAAACTTTTCAAATAAATTTAATGCTTTGAAGTTAGCTATGTAAACTTATCGAGATGTGGAAGTAACAAATTTCAATGAATTTCGGTAAAGCAAGCCGTGAACATGAAGTTAAACACTGAATGAACAAACCAAATGATAGCTCCCAAAGCTGAAACACAAGCATCATACGCAGGATTACACTTTGGAATAAGGCTGTCTCTATCAATCATGTCGAGTAAGACTACAGGCCATTTATCGTATAATTTGCCAAAATATTTATCGTCTGCCAGCTGTAACAAATTTTAAAATTTGTCCATTGACTCAATATTACTTAAATAACCTAAGTAAAACTCATTGTAGAAATTTTGTCAGCAGCCTATAACGTAAATTTGGTTTTGTCAAATTATTTTGAGATTGAAATGTTTTCTAAAAAAAAAAGCAATGGATGTAATCAGAAATGAGAAAAGAAAAGCACAAAGACTGGCATATCTGAAAGGATCTGGATTTAGACTTTTCCCATACATTGAAATCGTACCAATTTCAAAGTGTCTTCGGATGTTAAAAATTCTTTCTTCGGAAATAGCGCTTCCTTCGGCACCGCACTCACGGTACTATTATATACAGTCATTGTTGACGCCGAAACTCGTCCCCGCTCATATAAAATCTGTAAAGACTTTGATGAAACAAAATTTGAATTAAAAACTAATTGTTCATTTAGGCTAGTTCAGCACAAACCTGAGCTGGTTGATAATGAGAGAATAATGTCCTTAGAGCAGAACGATTACTGCCGTCTGAGAGGCAGCCAATCTGAAATCGTCTTTTTTTTTTTTGAAAAATAAAGGCCAAGAAATAAGATTGCTAAAAGTTATCAATTTGAGAGTATACTACATCTTTTAAAAAATTTCCCGAATATTTTCAAAAAAGCTTTTTTTAGATAAGGAAGAGAAACATACGTAAAATCGACCGACGGTTGTATCGATAAAACAGACGCCATATTGTACACTTTCTGTACCCTGAAAAACAAATCTATGCTATCTAATGATATAATTGGTTGATGAATAAAATAGCGTGGTGAAAACAATTGGCTATCAAAATTAAAACACCCTTTCTGCTACAGCGTACAAGTAACGTGCTGTTGTGTCCATCACATCCACAGTGCTTTGTTCATCATTTCCATCAAGTACTCCATATGTTCGAGTACCTGGAGTAGTAATATTGCACACTTCCCTGAAATATTTTACATTCAAATTTTGCATTTTGTATCCAAAATTTTTCATCCATTTTTTTACATTTCATATTCGAAAAAAAATCATGAGCGCAAAAGTATTAGGTTTGCAAAAAAATGATAACACCGATTTCTTCAAGGAAGTAATTTCGATTGTGAAAGCTAATCTCGCATAAAAAAGCAACAGGAATTAGTACTGCGATTATATAAAGAACCCTACAGTTTAAAAGTTAATAGCAAATATTTCATAGTTCGAAGCCAAACAGTGAAAATCAAAATAAATTAAAGCTTTTTTTATTTAGCATTGTCCGTGTCGAGAAAAATTTCGACAAGCCAGTAATATCCGTGACTGTCACAATAAAATGCTTATTTTGAATCACACCTCCTCACAACTTTGTCATTAGCTTTTTCGATTTTATTTCGGCTTTCCAATTGCGTTGGTGTTTCGGTTTGTTCGACGCGGGCAACTTTATATCCTCGATTAACCAGTTGATCGGCAAAACGACCGTAAGCTACTTCTGGAAATCCACAATGCGCAAAACTACCCTAAAGAAATTCAACTTTTGAAATTTGTTCCAGAAGTTTAGACTTCATTTAAAATGACCTAGAAAAGAGTAAACGAACAAGTGATTAAAATAAGTGGACTTTAACTAACCCTCATGTAATTGAGATTTAAATTTTCGACGCCAATAACAGCATCCATATGATACATTTCATAAAACTTTCCAACTTTAAAAAACAATATTGTATCAAAGTACGCCGATTTAGCTGCCCACCACTGTCGATGTCCTAAAAAGCGATTCGAAAATTATGATTTATGATAAAAACATCTATAAAAATAAGATATGGTCCAAATCTAAATCACACATCATTATTATTATTCCATTAAATCTGCAATAAATCACAACGTCATACCAGGCGTTTGCTTTTTCATGAATGCATCCGGTACATATAAAGTACGCGGACAATAATCTGGATGACTACGTAAACGTTTATCTGCATCGCGAATGCGGTCTGGTTGTAAAAATTCGAAGTCTAAATGAGGAAACCGCACAGATTCAATATCGGGCACAGTAGTCAAACATGCAGTAGATGCGCTTTCATCCAATACATCGCCATCAGTTGAACAACCTAGTTTTGATGACGACACAGATGAATCCTAGAATTAAATCAATTAATTGAGAAGTTACTTGCAATTAATGGCTACTGAACTTCCGAGGGCTTTGAATTGGAAAATATCGGTTGTTTAACGTTTAAATCTAAAGATCTCAAATGTCTGCTTGAAAACAACACATATATTCAGAAAACTTTTTAAATGATTAAATCAGAAAATATATGGCTTTAAGTGAGGAAAGAGTTTAGTCAAGAAATCTTCCAACCCGAACTCTGTTCAGGATCCACAGAAATAAATGTGTGGAATATTATAGCTAATTAAAAGAATACAATTAGTGACTCAACAGACTTGTTCTGAAGCGCGGAATGAATTGATAAACGATATGGTCATCTCACTCACAACAGGCTTTGAAGATGTGGACTCGTATACTGATGAAGTCTGCGAAGAAATATTTTCACGACGAGGTGAATTCTGAAAGAAAAAACATTGTAGTTTTTGAGTTAAATTCAATCTATTGATTAAAACATAATTCAAAATTAAGCTGAATCTACATAACCAATACACGTGTTGAAACTCTAACAAGTTTTGAGTCAACCGCAAAGCTTCAATTTACTTCAACTTTCTACCAATGATTTATTAAGTGATTTAAGATTAAAATTCGGAGATCTAACCCTATTCCTAACTCAAATTTATTTTTTATATATTTTATATTTTATACATAATAATGGCCTTTTATGCCTCAATAATGTCTTAAAATTCCAACTGTTGTTACAGATAACTTCGAAATCGATCAAATTTTACAAACCAAATGGGACAGCAAACCGCTCTTCAGTGATCTATATCGTGGACTTTGCTGCATGTTTTCCTCACTTTTGTTCAAGTTTACCATTTCAACATCATTATCTTCTGAATCTGATGAAACCACCACGCGGCGACGTTTCGTGCATGACTTTTTTAATGATGATAGCTCTTCATCTGGTGGTCGCTTCGTATGCAAGTCTTAATAAGTAAATTCAGTATAAATTGGATTTTTTTGCTCCAAAATCTCATAGATCAGTCTGTGGAGAGTGGAATTTATTAGTTAAAAGAAATTTCCTTAAAACTTTGAAAATTTAAATTGTTCGACCTATTTGTTAAGTCCAATATTTCCAGTGAAATAAGTATGGATAACATTTAAAATCTAATTATGAAAAATGTCGGCAGATAAATGATTAATCAAAAAAGAAAAATTCACAGTACTAACTTAATTCACCTCCCAATGAATATAAATTGTATTAACATTTGTAGGATCTCATAGTTTTTCCGGATTTTGAATGAGGCTTTCTCTGCGTTTTACGTAAGTGACGTTCGGTTGTGCGAAAGTCTATAGCGGAAACAAATCAAAGTTGACCAAAATCCTAATGCTTATGCTGCCAAAACCCGTTTTTTGAAATAAATCTAGTTTGCTATTGCCGATCATGATTTTTCACAAACTGCTAAAATTATATTTCAAATAAAGCACTTTTAGTGTCATCTTCCATTCGGATATCACTTTCCACATTACCATTCTTTTGCATTCTTGAAATCTTGGAAGGGGTGGTACGCCTCACTATTTTGGTCTGCAAAAAAGTGATTTTTAAATTTTCATTCAAGAAGCACAAAAATTAGAAATCCAAAGTTTGAAGCACTGAACTGCAGTGCAACCGAATCATATTCGGAAAATATATGACTAATGGAGAATATCATTGTTTTTCCAATACTTCCAATAGAACGTAGATTATTTGGTTAGTATTTTCCAATAGAAAATACTCAGTATTTTCCAATAGAAAATACTGACCAAGTAATAATCTACGTCAACTTTGACAGCATGTTCTATGGTCGTTTCATTTTTGCATTACTGCTTAAGTGTAACTTTTGATCATTAATTCTATTTCCAATAAAAATTACTGAAGTATTTGCTTCTCGTTACCCTTACACTTCTAATTCTCCGCTGACTCTTTTTCCGCTTTTATTTTAATTGATCTGTAAAAGGATGGGAACAAATGTGAACCCTCAGAAAGGCGGGATAACCTTTGATAACTACGGAATTTGGGAATACGTAGTAGTGAGAAGCTGGAAGAGACTAAGCTCTGAATCCATAATTTGAAATCACATCCCTAAGAATACTTTTATTTAGTTGAAGCTTATTTATTTAATTTGTTTTCTTTTCAATGAGATTTTTTAACAGATATTTCTTTTCAATAGAATTAAATTTTGTAGACCGTTTTATTTGCGATGGGTTCCTCTTGCAATGCACTTTTCGGATTTGGACTTCTGGTAAAAAATGAAAGTAGAGATGCTTGCTTCTTCATAGCCATTCTCTGAATCAATCTGAAATGTTGACATAACGATTACAAACTTCTCGAATTTCTACCAGTTTCATTCTTAGGAAAATTTCTAACATATTCTTCGAAGGTGTTGTGAGCTTTAGCGTACGATTGGAAGTAGACAGTAGTATTCACGAATCTCTCAACTTAGTAGTGATTCTATGAATGATTAACCTCCATTCATTATCATATAATTTTCGTGACTCGGAATCTATTCTGTTGATGCCTTCTCAGGCAGATCTACGTAACTGAAGTGTTGTGGGTTCCAAATCGCAATAAAAGTTCACGAGATTCCCTGCGGATCGTTTAACTTCATTGTATCGCTGCATGATAATTAGTATAAGGACGCATGGCGAGGTGTGCTGTCACATATTAGTCATCAGTGGATGTCTACAGATACGGAAACACATACAACGCTAATCAAACGAATGGATCCAACGAATAATTTACTCACTGTAAAATCCCTTAGAATGACTCGGAATTTCCCAGTTCCATTCAAGTGGTAATTTTGGGCTTGCTAAAAAAGTTATCGTTGGTAAATGCGTGTCTTAATAATGGGACTGTAATGAGGGGATTAGTGTCAAACTTTCAATTTTCATGGCAGAATATACTGCAATAAAACCAGCAATTGTAAGTTTATTATATATTATATCATGCGTAATGCAACGCTTTGTTAACTACACGTGCGGCATACGTCAAATCACATGGAATTACTTCCGTCAGGAAGGGAACGTGTAAAACCGCTTTAGTGCTGCATCAGTAGAACAAATGCTGTTTGAAAATAGAGCTCTTCGATTGGTCTTGAAACGATATCTTTGATCCATTGGGGAAACTTTCAGTATGGGGTAGAGGGGGAGTAGCGGACGGTTGCATATTCGACGTGGGTCGGTTAGAGTTCATGGTCACGCTGGGTTGCGTGGGGTTTTTCACGTGTGGACACGTTTGAGTGACCATGTGAACACACAGACATGGTTTGATGTCAAGAGACATACATTCGTCCTATTCATGTTCTCTGTCGGTCACGAGCTTCCAATTCCCCGGTGTTTGACGAGATTCATCTCAAACTGAGCTTAAGAGCCAATGTTGTTTGAGACTCTTCCTAAGATCTAAGGATCTCATTTTTTACTACCCAGTCTCTCTGGTGAGTGGTAATCAGCTTGATAATATATTTTCAAATATGTTATTTTCAGATTTCAATTCTTGAAAATTTGAATGGAATTTTTATGTTGGATTACACGTTTGACGATACTAAAAAGCATGGATGATATGTAACTATAAATAAATAATTTTAGGTTTGATTTCTAGTTTCTGAATTTGAAAGAAAATGGGCGGCAAAGGTGAAGTAGGTGATCAGAAGATCCGTGCTACACAAGATCAGTTACGGCTTGCCAGATTAACGCAAGATTTGTCTATAACAGATGACGATCGTGCGAACATACAGAAGCTTGTGAAAAAGGTAGAAGTCATTTACTGATGATCTTGTGTGATGTTGACGCTGGTTTCATTTCGTAATAGTTATCTGTATTGAAGCCTTGCAGGATTTTACTGTTCTATATAATAAATTCTTCCAACATCTTAGTCGGAAGTCTCAGTAGCTAGGAAATAATTGGAATTTTATTTTGTGAACTTAGAATATTACGTACGTAAATTTCAGGTAGTGGAGACGACACGATGTACCGTAAGTCAGGCGGAAATTGCTCTTTATGATAATAATAATGACGTCCAAGAAGCAGTAAATGCCATTTTGGAGGACAATTATCCAGATGAAAATGTCTGGAAAGAACAGAAAAGCAGACGAGCAAAACGAGCTGAAGCTGAGGAATTAAAGCATGAAGAATCGAATTCTCATAGGAACCGAATTAACAGCACGAGATCATCGAATAATTTCGGTAGGATTTGATTTCTTAGTACTTCTGTTTGCTTACGTCTAGCATATTTAGGATGTATTGTTTAGGTTTGAAAGATATGCTAGTAGGATAGTTCTTGTAACCTTACCGATTTTCTATCTATTTAGTAATGGATGTTGTGAGATCAGGCGGTGTTGTGCACACATTGCCAGAATTTATGCAGTTAAAAATTTAGATTTCGTGCTGTTTTCGCAACAAAATCGTACTTTCGTTGATTCCGCAAGAAACATAAGTCCTCAAATGTGTTGGGAATGTGCAATTAGTTAATATATATTGGGGCTGTTTCTATATATTGGTTAATATAGGAGATATTTGGAGCTGTTCGGCATGATCTAATAAAAGCACTTCTTTCTGAAGTGCTTTTTATTAGATCATGCCGAACAGCTCCAAATATCAAACGTACCAAAATGTTCATTTTGTTAGGATATGGGCGAGGACGAGGAGTAGAACGAGGACGTAGTGGTTATCGAGGTGGACGTGGTGGCGGTCGAGGTTCATATCGAGGTGGACATCAGTACTCATCATCTCAAGGACAGCTTGGCGGCAATATAGCAAGTAACGTTTGGGATAATTCACAGGCATTGAAGGTGGACTCTAGTAAGGAATGGACAAATGCATAATGATAGAAAAGATCAATCTTTTGAAATGATGATATTAGAGTGGCACAAGGAAGATCATTTATATTTCCCTCCACATAAAAATATTTTTAAAGTAAGTTTTGCGAATTAGTATTACAATACTTTTGAATGACTCTTGAATTTTAATTACCAGCAATATATTTAATCAAATAATATATTCCAGTCAGATTTTATATTGATAAAGCAAGTTTGGCATTAAGGTGGCATCGGTGAGGAAAAGAATTTAATATGTGTTACGTAAATTGTTATGATAATTAAAAATGAAGGTAGTAGGACTGACTGCTCAATGGTTAAACTCTAGTCTTTTAAATATAAAAGACTACTAGAGACACAATAATTCAATGA